CAACCAGAACAGAGGCTTAGTATTATGTATGAATGCAGCCAATGTACTGTGTTCTGGCATTCTACAGTAGAAGGGTATGTATATTAAACCCATATATACACACACAGCTGCTGTTTTTATATCTTTAAACTGAAAATACTGATATATGCATATTTAGCTTCAAAAATGAGAAATAAACAAATGGAAGGAGATGATGTACATTTGGAAATATTTCAACAATGTTTAAAAAAATACAGTATTTGCTACTCAAGAGATGCAGTATCCCTTTTCTTAAAATTCAGCTGTATAACTTTGTAAACTCTATAGAAACTAATAGAGTTACTTCAAAATCTGCACAAAATGATAAGGCAAAGCATAAGAACACCTCTGATTTGTGAAATCATACATAAGTGCTTACCAATCAATGTTTTTCCCCATTAGTTCAAATTTGGAAAATCTATGCAAGATTAGAATTGTTAAATCTGTGTGAAGTTCAGAAGTATTTTTTTTTTGAGATTGCTAAAATGTTGATGTATCAAAAGGGATACCACATAATGGAATCTCTAATATGTATGCACAGAATTATAATCAATATAATTATTCTATAGCACCTGGAATACACTAAGCACTTAGGGTTAAAGCAGAAAGTGTTTTCTAACACCATTGTGTTTACTTGCTGCTATGTATATAAAGAAATATTTCTTTATTCAGCCAAAATATAAGACATATTTGCCTAATTCACAGGAGAATGGATTCCTTAAGAACCCAATTAAAATGGAGGTCTGGATGGATACTTTTGACTAGTGATATCAGTTCAAGTCAGAAGGAGAAGAAAGAACTCCATGCAAGAATCAAGTATCACAGGAACCAATGGGTTGAAACTAAGGTAAGAAAATATATGCTTATGTATATGTGGAGCAAGGTAGGAAATGCTAGTAATATAAATGGATTCAAATCTGCACTTATGCTATAAAATATGCTAGTTTTTGGGGTGTAGTTCCATGTAAAGTTAAGTACTGTACATCATTATAACCTGTGTAAGAATCCAATGGGGAGCTGCTAACACAAATGGCTTATTGGATACTTATTCATTATCTATCTCAATCTCCATCTCAAAATGGTTTTTCAGTGGGGAAGGGATCTTTAAGGGTGTCCAGGAGCCAAGCTAGATAGTGTACTAGTCATATGACCACATGCTCACTCTTCTAGTGAAAACTCCTGTAGACTTCCAACAACAGACAAAATTAAGGATGGCGGCACCTAAACATTCAAGGGGGATGAATTATTTTTTTCATTTATCTCTTTTGCAAGCTAATTTACCAGATTTAGGTGAAAGTGGCTACTATGGAATGATATGATCAAGTAAAGAAGGGGTCTACTTAACGATTCTTCCTGTAATGCACATCTGACTGAACCTTTTCACTATTTTCTGTATACTGGTGTTGTGTAAAGATGTCTGTTTACTTGCTTATTTTGGAAGAGAAGAAAGAAACTGAGTGGCTTTTCTATTAGACTAGTTATCCTCATTAAAAAAGTAGAATCAGATCAAAATTGCTACCTAATTTAACAATGTTTCAGGTTTTGGTGATAAAGAATTTTATAGCAATATACTATAGTTAATGGAGGCGCAATGGTTCAATGGCTTAATATATGCTGGAGAAGGTCTGTACTCTGGCAGTTTGAGTCCTACCACCACATGAGAGAGTGAACTCCCACCAGGTGCCTTAGCTTCCGCCAACCTAGCAGTTCAAAAACATGTAAATGCAAATGGATTAATAGGTACTACTTTGGCGGGAAGTTAACAGTGATCCTTGTTTTGCCGTATGCTTTGTGCTTTGGTGTGATATCATGCTGGCCATATGATCACAGAAATGTCTTTGGACAGCGCTGGCTCAATGGCTTAAAGAAACAGATTTGAACACTATCCCTAAAGTCGGCTACAGTTAGCAGAATAACACCTATGGGGATTCCTTTACCTTTTACCTTTTATTATAGTTAGTTATAGTTAGTTTATCTACTATAATATTTATTTATTATGGTTAGTTTATCAACTCATAGAAAAAAACCAGTAAATCCAATACCAAATAAATCTAAATCCAGCTAAAATAAGAAATTGAAATGTGCGATTTTCAGGGTCTATTAATGCCCTCCAATAATAATACTTCTGTGAAAATTCTAGACAAAGAATTGCTGTCTATTTAATGTAACAAACAGGAAAGGTTTCCATCCATCTCTTTTTAATCTGAATTAATAGAGTTCAGGAGAAAATTCTTACACATTCTGAAATAGATCAATGCGATAAAGGTTCACACACTGCAGGGTCAGCAAACTTATTAATGACATGATAAATTAGGAAAGGTGGAACATAGCTATGAAAATATCATGCAAATTAAACATGAGATGCTGATGAACTAGATTGGGTAATGGACCGTGCATCTGATAATACTCCTCCACTGAAGTTGATTTCCTCAAATTGGAAGAAAGCTCCGTTCTACCCCCTGAAAAATGACTCCTCCAACATAATTTAAGAAACTGTTGACAAACTAATTCTGTGAAGTGTAGTTTGTAACAGCATTGAGGTGTTTTCCCTACTGGAAATGAAATGAGAACTGAAAACTTTCTGTGGATCATAGCTGAAATTCACGAGAATGATGGTGAATCCAAGCTTACCAACCTCCAAGACTGAGATGTTCTCCAGGATTGAGCAAAGTGAATTGCAAAATGTCTAGCCTATTTTTTTGAGCCGGACTTAAAGGAAAACTCAAAGACTTGGGGAAGCTTATATATATTTCCCCAAGTCCTTGAGTTTTCCTTTAAATCTTTCCTTCAAATATATATATGTGTGTGTTGATTTTGTGCTGATAAATAAATAAAGGGAGACTAGTATAGATCTATTTCAAGCTATTTAGCTCTCATCAGCTAACCATACCCTTACTGGGAATCAAACCTGGGCTGTATTACATATTAGGCAGTTATATTAGCCACTAAGCCACAGGCTCTCCTCCTTTATCAGCTAAGCCAGGGAAATAGGTATACCTATTTATTCAATTCCCAGTAAGGGTATGGCTAGCTGATGAGAGATAAATAGCTTGAAATAGATCTATACTAGTCTCCCTTTATTTATTTATCAGCACAATTGCAACACAAATGTAACAAGGCAAAATAAAAAAAATGGCTTTCTGCCTGGATGGCTCCCAGAGTGAGCCGATAGACAGAAAAGGAAAGCAGTATGCTCCCTCCTATATTTGAGCATACCAGGGGTTGTGACACAATATATATCTGTATCTCCATTATCACTTGTGAATATAATGCTTACTCTACTGGCCCAATTATTCTATGTAAGCAGCTGTGAAACTTATACAAGTTAACAGTGTTCTCAGCTCTGCTAGTGGAAAAGCCATTATAATTGATCACAGGTTAGTCTCACAGAAAGGTCTAATAGTTTGGTGTAAATGTCAGCATGAGTGCTGACATTATGATAGGTTTGTAAGGAAGTGTCACATCCCCAGGAGCAGCTGTTGGCTATCTGATATTTTGAGGACATTTCTCACTGGCCTGTCTTTACAGTTCTGGCAATCACATTTATTCATCATTTAGCAAGGAGAACTTCCAGATAAAAAGCAATACAGCTATACTGTACTGCCCCTTAATTTGCACGAGTGGATTTCTCATAATTTTTACTATGAACTGGTTTGTAGCACTTCTTTTTAAGCACAGAGGTACACAACAGGAAAATAAAAAGTGAAAGCACTATTGGGAGAAATCACATATGTGTCTAACTAACACAAAACACTATTAGCATACCTAAGGGTTCTAATGCAGACGTTTCTCCTCCATGTTATATATCTCCGGGGGAATCATTGTAAAAAGGCAATAAATTAAAAAAAATCTATTGGAAACCATTAAGACATGAATATGATTTTTAGGCACAGTGTCTAGTTTTTTTCCCCCACTTGGAAAACTGGAACAGAAAATTCATTTCACTTTAACATAGATAAGAGATATAAAAATACCCTATTTTTATTCCTTCCTTGCCTAGAATAAAAACAACAATTTTGCAACTGATCTCTGAAGCAAGACATCCATAGCTTGGTGGTAGACCACATAGCCTTAATTCATAAAGTCTGCATATGATTTTTATCATTTCCAATTAAGGGATCACAAGTGGTAAGTGATGTGACAGACTTTTAAGTGATATTTTAAAGAACTAGCTCTCTGTCCATCTGTTCTAGGCTAGATGGAACAAATCACTTGACATAAACAGCTTCATATTAAGCAGCCATTTGCTCATTCAGATGTGTGAGAGAAACAGAAAGGCAAGGAAAAAGGATCTGAAAGATATTCATAAAGTCATACATGTTGATTATGAAAATGTGTGTCAATTAACAAAGTGTTTGAAACTTATCAATAAAGTGTATTTAAAAAAATAAAATTATAGATTTTTTTTCTTTCAGAATTACTTCTACTTCCAGAAGATGGTGCTATTGATTTTTGTTGTTACTTTGAAATTGCAAAGATTTTTTTTAAAGAAATGAGACACCATTTAATATACGTTTGCATTTTAAGGTCTGCAGGCCTATCTAACCCAATGGAAAATTTATGATAAGATAATGTGATTTTAACTATAACTTTCATGACTTATAAAAATACAAATGAAGGTAACATAGCCTGTAAAATATTTTCCAAGATAAGTAGGCCATACATTTCACAATACAAGAGAATAAGCAGGGCTAATTGAAACAGTAAGTTCAAGTTAACCACAATAAAATATAAGAAATATTTTGAAGGTAAAAAGGTATCATTTCAATTTCACCAGTCTTTGTCTTTACAGTTTGTACAACTCAATACTAAAAATATATATATTTGATTTCTACGGTAGAATATTGGTTTCTGACTTTACAAAATACCTTCTGTTCATGATAAAGATGCTCTCCCAGGAAACATTTTTCTACAATGAACTGTGAATGAATTTATTAACATTTATTTGAACAAAAAGAAAATGGCAAATTTACCATACTTACCTTTTTTTGACAATTAATATGACAAGGAGGAGGATGAGAATAAAGACAAGGATTCCAGCACTTATTCCTGCTATTTTCACTACACGGTCAGTCTGCTTGGCAGGGTCAGGAATAACCTCTGGTTCTTCTGTTGCAGCTGCTGGGAGAAATGGTATTAAAAGTTACTTGAACTGTTTTAACCATTGCTCCCATCCAAATGGGCTCTGCATTGATGCAGTACTGGACCAGGAAGAAGAACTATCTTAGAAAGATCTACAGTATTAGATCCGTGGTGGCACAGTGGTTAGAATGCAGTATTGCAAGCTGACTCTGCCCATAACCAGGAGTTCGATCCTGATGGGGCTCGAAGTTGACACAGTCTTCCAACCTTCCAAGGTTGGTAAAATGAGGCCCAGAATATTGTAGGCAATATGCTGCCATAAATCGCTTATAAAGAGTGCTGTAAAGCACTATGAAGCTGTATCTAAGTTAAGGTGACCAGATTTTCAGATTGGTAAAGAGGGACACCATTGACCGGTTTGGGGGGGGGGGGGCTTGATTAAAAAAATTATAATTTGTCAAAAGGTCACAAAAGATGATTACATCGCGCCAGGACACTGAAACCATCATAAATAGGAATCTGTTGCCAAACACCAAAATTTTGATCACGTGACCATGAGGATGCTGCAACGGTTGTGAAGTGTGAAAAATGGTCGCTAAGTGTGAAAAATGGTCG